AGTGGTACTTGATTCCGTTAGTTCATATTTGTTATTAAGGTGAGGGGCTGTGTTTTTCACTCGTGTTCTTATCTCACTTTCTGAACTTGAACAAAACGCAAGTTCACGTTTTGTTCTCAGTTTGTTCTGAATATCTGTTCCCAGTATGTCATAAAATCCTTGTTCTGTCTTCATATAATTTATTCCTCCCATGGCGTCCTTCATGTATAGTGTTTCATCACTAATATATATATATATATATATATATATATATATATATATATATATATATATATATATATATATATATATATATATATATATATATATATTATACTTCCGAACATTCTCAATGTTTCTTGACTCTGGATTCTAGAGTAAATAGAGTAAACTATTGTAAATAGTTCCGTAATTTGGGTATTTATGATAGGTTGTTCTAGTTTTATGTGGATTGCTTCAAGAAGTATATGTAAGTAGAACACAAAAGTAGAACAACCTACCATGAATACTCAAAATATGGAAGTATTCACTCTACCCACCATGAGAGTAAGAACAAGACTGGAACATGAAGATGCCAACATAGAAGACACTGCTCAACATGCTTCGTCTACTACACATTATTTATCTTTGTATGTGCTTCGTCCCCTATTTTCTTTTACGCCTTACCTTTTCCTTTATTCTTGTCCCATTTGTATAGAATCTATACAAATGGGACAAGATCTATACTATAGATCTATACAATAGATCTATACTATAGATCTATACTATAGATTTACTTGTCTTCACCTGACCCCTTACTGATATAAATCTAACACGCCTTGTATTATCTTATCACTTGAGAATGAACCATGTAGGTTCGAAACGTTGCGTAAATGCTATAATGAGTGTCATACATTCTAAGGTTATCTATTTCTTTTTCTTCACCTCGAACGAAGATGACCTTTGGTGAACGTCTCTTCCAATTACACCAAGATGCTAGAACACTCGTCAGAGGGATAGAAGCCTTAAACAAGAAAATAATCAATACAGAATATGCAGCCATATTCAGTGAAACATGAATAAATTTGTTTATAAATGGAAACTATGTTTTAAAGTGAAACAGGAATTTCCTTAAGTACTTTCGTATATTAATACATCTTAATGTACTATAATATTGGAAGATGTATTATAATATTGGAAGTATATATTATATACTTCCAATATTAATACATCTTCCAATATTATATATAATATAATATATAGAATATATATTATATATAATATTGGAAGATGTATTAATATACGAAAGTACTTAAGGAAATTCCTTTTTCAGTTCTTCCTCTGTGGTCTGACATTCACATTTTTAATTAATCACGTGTATATATATATATATATATATATATATATATATATATATACACATTAGTATATTTTGGTAGCAGTCTTGTAAATATATGTTGTTGAATATGACTGAAAAAGTAAGAATAATTCAAACACGAATTTTTTCAAAATTTCTTATGTTTTTCTTCACTGTCGGTGGTAATGAAAATATCAGTTCTCCAAAATTCATTTTTTTTATTAATAGTCTGGCGCCTAGAAGCGTTTCGTAAGGGCTTCTTACATTCTCAAAGACTTCTTTACACTTAACACTACACTTATTAACTACTTTACACTTATGAACTACTTTATGATACACTGTGTATGAAATATTTGACGTATGTTGTTGTAATAGATTCAGCTACTCGGAACAAGTTCCAAGTAGCACGGGCTATGGTGAACCCGTAAACATTTGACATAACCCTCGCTAATAAGGTTACCCAAACTAATAAAAAACGAGGGGTATGTCAACATTTGACTGTTGTTATAGATTCAGCTACTCGCAACAAGTTCCAAGTAGCACGGGCTATGGTGAGCCCGTAACTTACTTGGCACAGGAGCAGGGCAAGTAGCTCGGGCTATGGTGAGTCCGTAGTGGACTTACCTGGCACAAAAGCGCGCGAACATTTGACATAACCCTCGCTTTTTATTAGTTTGGGTGAGGTGCGTACATGAGAATGGAAGTATCTGCAGGCGATGAGTCACAATAACGTGGCTGAAGTAAGTTGACCAGACCACACACTAGAAGGTGAAGGGACGACGACGTTTCGGTCCGTCCTGGACCATTCTCAAGTCGATTGTGAAGAGGAAGTAGATGCAGGCAATAAATAGGCTAGAGAGAGGTGAGGAGCAAAGTGACCAGACCGTCACCAGAGAAATGTTAACAAGCAACACAGAAATCATCGATAAATACAGCGATAGCAGGAGACTCGACATCAGCGAGGCACTACACATCAAAACGTCAACACCAGCAATCAACAGGCAATTAATGCACAACTATATTCTACCCACTTCAAGACCCTGAACCAATAGAGAAGCAGCAAGAGAAAGTATGGGCCAATAGGCCATCTGCAGTTCCATTCTTATGTTTTCATACCCATTGATTCGTGTTCTGGCAGAGTTCTCACCCAAAACTTTTGTGCCATATCATCTCACCTAAAACTAGTATAAGTATGATGTATATAGTCTTTGAAAATGTAAGAAGCATTACGAAATGCGTTCAGGCGTTAGACCAAAAATAAAGAATGAATTTTGGAGAATTAATTTTTCAATTACCCTCGACAGTGAAGAAAAACGTAAGAAATATTGAGAAGATTCGTGTTAGAATTACTAATCTTACCCTTTCGGTCATATTCAACAACATATGTTAACAAGAAAGACTGCTACCAAAATATATATATACAGTGTCTAAATCACGAAAAATAAACACGTGACAGTGTCAGACCACGGAGGAAGAATTAAAACAGGAATTTCCTTAAGTACTTTCGTATAATAATATATCTTCAGAAGGAGTCCACTCCTCCGTGGTCTATATATATATATGGGTACTAGGTACAATATATATATATATATATATATATATATATATATATATATATATATATATATATATATATATATATATATATATATATAATGTACCTAGTACCCAAAACGCACTTCTCGGCCTACGATGCAAGGCCCAATTTGCCTAATAGGCCGAGTGATTTTCTTTATTTACAATAAATTGTTTCCAATTGGTTTATTTGAATAATTATTATTATATTATATTAAGACCATAAATAATTGACTTTGTTGTGTTAGTTTAGGTTAAGTTAAGATAGGTTAGGTTAGGTACTGTTGGTTAGGTTCGGCCATATATCTACATTAGTATTAACTCAAATTAAAAAAAATAACTCATACACAATGAAACGGATAGTTTTATCATTTCATAAGGAAAAAAATGAAAAATATATAAATTCATGAAAACTTGGCTTATTAGGCAAATCGGGCCTTGCATAGGCTGAGAGTGCGTTCTGGCTACTAGGTACGACATATATATATATATATATATATATATATATATATATATATATATATATATATATATATATATATATATATATATATATGCGAACAAGCCAGAATGGTCCCCTGGACAATATGCAACTGATTTTCTACTGATGGTACATACCAGTTGTACATACCAGTTGCGTTGCTTCTGGGAGTATGGGTTCGAGTCACTTCTGGGGTGTGAGTTTTCAGTTATATATATATATATATATATATATATATATATATATATATATATATATATATATATATATATATATATATATATATATATATTATTAAATATGACCGAAAAAGTAAGATTAATAATTCTAATACGAATTTTCTCAATCTTTCGTACATTTCTTTTCACTGCTGGTGGTAATTCAAAAATCAATTCTCCAAAATTCATTTTTATTTCTAGTCTGACGCGACACTTGAGCGCGTTTCATAAAACTTATTACATTTTCAAAGACTTTAGTTAACACATACACAACTGAATAGAACTTACACATCTCCGATTTGTTTATATCTACATTTGAGTGAGGTGGATGGGGTGAGGTGGTATTAATAGGGTATTAAATTCATCAACACAAAAAGAACACGAAACAATGGGTATTGAATGGAAGTGATTGTAGAAAGCCTATTGGTCCATATTTCTTGATGTTTCTATATTGGAGCGGAGTCTTGAGGTGGGTAGAATATAGTTGTGCTATAGACCAACTATATAGAATATAGTTGGTCTACCCACCTCAAGACTCCGCTCCAATATAGAAACATCAAGAAATATGGACCAATAGGCTTTCTACAATCACTTCCATTCAATACCCATTGTTTCGTGTTCTGTCTTGTGTTGATGAATTTAATACCCTATTAATGCCACCTCACCCCATCCACCTCACTCAAATGTAGATATAAACAAATCGGAGATGTGTAAGTTCTATTCAGTTGTGTATGTGTTAACTAAAGTCTTTGAAAATGTAATAAATTTTATGAAACGCGCTCAAGTGTCGCGTCAGACTAGAAATAAAAATGAATTTTGGAGAATTGATTTTTGAATTACCACCAGCAGTGAAAAGAAATGTACGAAAGATTGAGAAAATTCGTATTAGAATTATTAATCTTACTTTTTCGGTCATATTTAATAATATATGTCTACAGGAAAGACTGCTACCAAAATATACTAATATATATATATATATATATATATATATATATATATATATATATATATATATATACACACACACACACACACGAATGAGTTTGGTTGAATATAAATAAGAGCGGCCTCGTATGGGCCAATAAACCTTCTACAGGGCGTTATTCTTATGTTCTTACCTTTTGTCTGCTTTGAAATGCCTCGCAGTCAAGTGTGATGTGTATTGCAATCTTGGAAGTGAAGGTTTCTGTATTGGGTTCCTTGATAAAGAGAGTATTATTGGTGGGTGGTTTCTGGACCCCCTTACCGAACCCCATTCAATGCTGACGTCTAGAAAGTTGTCGTTTGCCAATAATTTGTTCGCTTTTCCATTTTGGTCCTGTGTAATGTGGGCTGGCAAGTCGGGACCCAGGTTGTTTATATTTTGATTTAATATATTGTGTATATAACCTTCACTATTCCCTTATGTTTCTCATGACCTAGGGCTCTGTGTTTGGTTGTGAAGTCTCCCAGGAAAGAGGCAGGTTTGTTCTACCTGATGAGTTCCAAGATGTGAGCGAGGGGTAGGTAAGGGCGGCGTCTTGGTGGCTGGTAGCACGTCCTTCGGCGTCTTGGTGGCTGGTAGCACGTCCTCCGGCGTCTTGGTGGCTGGTAGCACGTCCTCCGGCGTCTTGGTGGCTGGTAGCACGTCCTCCTCCGTCTTGGTGGCTGGTAGCACGTCCTCCGGCGTCTTGGTGGCTGGTAGCACGTCCTCCGGCGTCTTGGTGGCTGGTAGCACGTCCTCCGGCGTCTTGGTGGCTGGTAGCACGTCCTTCGGCGTCTTGGTGGCTGGTAGCACGTCCTTCGGCGTCTTGGTGGCTGGTAGCACGTCTTCCGGCGTCTTGGTGGCTGGTAGCACGTCCTCCGGCGTCTTGGTGGCTGGTAGCACGTCCTCCGGCGTCTTGGTGGCTGGTATCACGTCCTCCTCCGTCTTGGTGGCTGGTAGCACGTCCTCCGGCGTCTTGGTGGCTGGTAGCACGTCCTCCGGCGTCTTGGTGGCTGGTAGCACGTCTTCCGGCGTCTTGGTGGCTGGTAGCACGTCCTTCGGCGTCTTGGTGGCTGGTAGCACGTCCTTCGGCGTCTTGGTGGCTGGTAGCACGTCCTTCGGCGTCTTGGTGGCTGGTAGCACGTCCTTCGGCGTCTTGGTGGCTGGTAGCACGTCCTTCGGCGTCTTGGTGGCTGATAGCACGTCTTCCGGCGTCTTGGTGGCTGGTAGCACGTCCTTCGGCGTCTTGGTGGCTGGTAGCACGTCCTTCGGCGTCTTGGTGGCTGGTAGCACGTCCTTCGGCGTCTTGGTGGCTGATAGCACGTCTTCCGGCGTCTTGGTGGCTGGTAGCACGTCCTTCGGCGTCTTGGTGGCTGGTAGCACGTCTTCCGGCGTCTTGGTGGCTGGTAGCACGTCCTTCGGCGTCTTGGTGGCTGGTAGCACGTCCTTCGGCGTCTTGGTGGCTGGTAGCACGTCTTCCGGCGTCTTGGTGGCTGGTAGCACGTCCTCCGGCGTCTTGGTGGCTGGTAGCACGTCCTCCGGCGTCTTGGTGGCTGGTAGCACGTCCTCCGGCGTCTTGGTGGCTGGTAGCACGTCCTCCGGCGTCTTGGTGGCTGGTAGCACGTCCTTCGGCGTCTTGGTGGCTGGTATCACGTCTTCCGGCGTCTTAGTGGCTGGTATCACGTCTTCCGGCGTCTTGGTGGCTGGTAGCACGTCCTGATAAACATTGCCACTTTTATCTTTTGGTTTCTATTGCAGAAAAGTTTCCAGGAAATTCTCCTGGTTTTTGAGTGATATTTCTCTCCTGACTGCAGTTGCTATTATGGGCTTAAACAGCTCGGCTGACCTGATATATTGTGAAGTTGAACACTTATATTTGTCTCCTTCCTCTGTTCGCTTGGCTATTGATGAGTACCTTGTCATAGTGTGTAGCTTGTATAAGGTGGGTGAGTTGTATTATTCTTAGTGTTTGGACGGGAGCAGCTCTTCTGTTGCTTTAGGGGGTGGACACCAATTGTGGTTTGCACGGTTCCCGCTTCGGGTATGTGTTCATCCTGCAGACTCATACGTCAGGCTGCGAGCAGCCGCGTCTAACCGCCTGGTTGATCAGTCCAGCAACCAGGAGGCCTGGTCGACGACCGGGCCGCGGGGACACTAAGCCCCGGAAGCACCTCAAGGTAGGCAGTTATTGTGCGGGTCCTGGAGCCCGTAACCGCCCCCCTCTGTTACAGCGCGGCGTCTTGTTCGCTGACTTCCGGCCATTATGGAGTCATAAACGTCCTTCCTTCTGAATTGGGAGCGTTTGTGTTTGGATTTTGTGTTTCCGGGTTAGACATTCTCGTAGAGAATGTGGCCACTCATTTTCAGTGAAAGATCTACAGGGCCTTCACTGCTTCCTTCCACCTGGGCCTTCACTGCTTCCTTCCACCAGGGCCTTCACTGCTTCCTTCCACCTGGGCCTTCACTGCTTCCTTCCACCAGGGCCTTCACTGCTTCCTTCCACCAGGGCCTTCACTGCTTCCTTCCACCAGGGCCTTCACTGGACACCCTCCACCAGGGCCTTCACTGCTTCCTTCCACCTGGGCCTTCACTGGACACCCTCCACCAGGGCCTTCACTGCTTCCTTCCACCTGGGCCTTCACTGGACACCCTCCACCAGGGCCTTCACTGCTTCCTTCCACCAGGACCTTCACTGGACACCCTCCACCTGGACCTTCACTGGACACCCTCCACCTGGACCTTCACTGGACACCCTCCACCAGGGCCTTCACTGCTTCCTTCCACCAGGGCCTTCACTGGACACCCTCCACCAGGGCCTTCACTGGACACCCTCCACCAGGGCCTTCACTGGACACCCTCCACCAGGGCCTTCACTGGACACCCTCCACCAGGGCCTTCACTGGACACCCTCCACCAGGACCTTCACTGGACACCCTCCACCAGGGCCTTCACTGGACACCCTCCACCTCCAGGACCTTCACTGGACACCCTCCACCGGGGCCTTCACTGGACACCCTCCACCGGGGCCTTCACTGGACACCCTCCACCAGGGCCTTCACTGGACACCCTCCACCTCCAGGACCTTCACTGGACACCCTCCACCTCCAGGACCTTCACTGGACACCCTCCACCTGGACCTTCACTGGACACCCTCCACCTGGACCTTCACTGGACACCCTCCACCTGGACCTTCACTGGACACCCTCCACCTGGACCTTCACTGGACACCCTCCACCAGGGCCTTCACTGGACACCCTCCACCAGGGCCTTCACTGGACACCCTCCACCTGGCCCTTCACTGGACACCCTCCACCTCCAGGACCTTCACTGGACACCCTCCACCAGGGCCTTCACTGGACACCCTCCACCTCCAGGACCTTCACTGGACACCCTCCACCTGGACCTTCACTGGACACCCTCCACCAGGGCCTTCACTGGACACCCTCCACCGGGGCCTTCACTGGACACCCTCCACCTCCAGGACCTTCACTGGACACCCTCCACCGGGGCCTTCACTGGACACCCTCCACCGGGGCCTTCACTGGACACCCTCCACCGGGGCCTTCACTGGACACCCTCCACCTCCAGGACCTTCACTGGACACCCTCCACCAGGACCTTCACTGGACACCCTCCACCAGGGCCTTCACTGGACACCCTCCACCAGGACCTTCACTGGACACCCTCCACCTGGGCCTTCACTGGACACCCTCCACCAGGGCCTTCACTGGACACCCTCCACCAGGACCTTCACTGGACACCCTCCACCAGGGCCTTCACTGGACACCCTCCACCAGGGCCTTCACTGGACACCCTCCACCAGGGCCTTCACTGGACACCCTCCACCAGGACCTTCACTGGACACCCTCCACCGGGGCCTTCACTGGACACCCTCCACCGGGGCCTTCACTGGACACCCTCCACCGGGGCCTTCACTGGACACCCTCCACCGGGGCCTTCACTGGACACCCTCCACCAGGGCCTTCACTGGACACCCTCCACCAGGGCCTTCACTGGACACCCTCCACCAGGGCCTTCACTGCACCCTCCACCAGGACCTTCACTGGACATCCTCCACCAGGACCTTCACTGGACACCCCCCACCGGGGCCTTCACTGGACACCCTCCACCAGGGCCTTCACTGGACACCCTCCACCAGGGCCTTCACTGGACACCCTCCACCAGGGCCTTCACTGGACACCCTCCACCAGGACCTTCACTGGACACCCTCCACCAGGACCTTCACAGGACACCCTCCACCAGGACCTTCACTGGACACCCTCCACCAGGCCTTCACTGGACACCCTCCACCAGGACCTTCACTGGACACCCTCCACCAGGGCCTTCACTGGACACCCTCCACCAGGGCCTTCACTGGACACCCTCCACCTGGACCTTCACTGGACACCCTCCACCTGGACCTTCACTGGACACCCTCCACCTGGGCCTTCACTGGACACCCTCCACCAGGACCTTCACTGGACACCCTCCACCAGGACCTTCACTGGACACCCTCCACCAGGGCCTTCACTGGACACCCTCCACCAGGGCCTTCACTGGACACCCTCCACCTGGACCTTCACTGGACACCCTCCACCAGGGCCTTCACTGGACACCCTCCACCAGGACCTTCACTGGACACCCTCCACCGGGGCCAGGGAACACGACGTCTGGGCAGGAAAGGGAAATACTCCTGGGACGCTACAGTGGAATTCTCAGTGCCAACAAATTCATAATTTTCTAACAATCAAACGTTTGGGAAAAGAGTGAAAAGATGTGTTGGTTGTATAATAGTGTTGTATATGCAGCAGCGGCTTCGTATGTGCTCCTTATCCCTGGCATTGTTCCCTGGGCGCTGCGTCTCGGTCGATCGCGTCGTGTGTGGAGTCAGTGTGCCTCGCTGTGAATGGCTCTGGTAGTAATGGCTTTGGACAGTACTTAACGAGAAGGGCTCTCTAATTGTGCCGTCTGTGAGATTGTGCCTGTCTACGGGGCTTCTGCAGTCAGGCACGGCATACAGTCTCCTGTCGAATTTTATGTTACGTAGGTCTAGTGGCGGAAATACGATTAATGGACAAATATAATTTAAAAAAACGGGAAGATATTAGTGGTGGTAGAATGACTGAATGTCCTCTGGCTAATTGGAACACTATCTTCGTCACAAGGATGATTGTTTTTGCTTTGAATATCATTAGGAATAATATGGGTTATGTGTGATTACCTTGTAAGGTATAGCGGAGTATCTCTTAGTCTTCATGAAGTGTGTAAGACACGCGTTCTTATCTTGTTCCTTTTTTACCTGGAGAGGGTCTCGAGAGTTCTTCTACTCCATGAGCTAGGCCTGAGGCCAGGCTCGACTTGTGATAACTTGGTAACTTGATAACTACAGCCTGGTTGTTCCGGCACTCCTTTCAAGAACATGTCTAAGAACTCGTTTAAGAGGTCCTCATGTCTCCAAGACTATGCTCAGTGGATCTCCTCATTATGAGAACTTTGACTCATTTGTGAGGTTGCTATTTTAATAATAATAATGATAATATTTATCATGTATATTGAATATAGTCAACAAACAAACAAACAAAGCGTTTCAGGCATAAGTTAAACTTTAAATTGCTTACAGTAATTCAGTTATGGTGGGTGATGGGGGGGGGGGGAGGAGACAGCCAGGTGCGTGTGTTTGACGCCTGCTGCAACACCTGTGACAGTTCACAGTAGGTCTACAGGTGTTGTACATGTGTACAGTATTGCTTGTGTTCACAGTGTCTACAGGTGTTGTACATGTGTGCAGTACTGCTTGTGTTCACAGTAGGTCTACAGGTGTTGTACATGTGTACAGTACTGCTTGTGTTCACAGTGTCTACAGGTGTTGTACATGTGTGCAGTATTGCTTGTGTTCACAGTGTCTACAGGTGTTGTACATGTGTGCAGTACTGCTTGTGTTCACAGTGTCTACAGGTGTTGTACATGTGTGCAGTACTGCTTGTGTTCACAGTAGGTCTACAGGTGTTGTACATGTGTGTAGTATTGCTTTTTTCTACCACAGACATGGCCACACATTTACAGTGCTAACCAGCATATATATATTTCTTCTGTCCTCCATGGACAGGGTGAGAGATCTGTTAAACATATAGTTCAGGAATTTATTAAACAATCAACCACAGAAGGTAATTGTAGTGCCTTTAAAATACTAATCTAACCTACAGACATAAAAAAGACATATTTACATCTGTCCGACATAACAGTATTCGAGGTGTGTTTTACACTCTCATTAATGTGCGTTTACCAAGGTGAAATGCAATTCTGACCAGCTTATACGTATCCTATATACAAATACATACATATATACCTAGGATCCTGCTAGCTGAGTGGCCAGCGCTCTGGACTCGTAATCCTAGGGTCCGGGTTCGATCCCCGGTGATGGCAGAAACAACATGGGTAGATTTTCTTTCACTCTGATGCCCCTGTTACCTAACAGGGGCATCAGGGTACTTATTTAACAGTAAATAAGTACCTGGGAGTTGCACAGCTGTTACGGACTGTTTCCTGTGTGTGTGTGGGGGGGGGAGACTAATTAGTTAGTAACAGTTGATTGATTGACAGTTGAGAGGTGGGCCGAAAGAGCAGAGCTCAAACCCCGTAAGCACAACTAGGTAAATACAACTAGGTGCATTCATACATACATAGTTATCTTTCTCATTCTTTGACAAGGAAAGATAG